TCTGAGCAAAGAGTTCCAGGCTCAGCTCCTGGCTGCAATGCCCCCGAATCTCACCGAGCTGCAGTTTTCCCATCAAAGCCCAAAGACTCCCCAAGTCCTTGCCACTTAAAGTACAATTAGAGTCACGAACACTTAATTTTGGCATGTTTTTGTTAACATGTGGACTGTTTAAGCCAGGGTCGTACACATTAAAAGTATCCAACCAGAAAGCGTCCATGGGCTGAGGACTCTGACGGGACCGGCTCCGTCCGTGAGTGTCGGCCACCGGTCAGCCCTTCCTGGACACCCCGGTGACTCGGGGCACGGGGCTCTTGCAGGAAACACTCTGTTCTGGGTCTGATTTCGTGCTTAACTCGGGCCGGGGGCCACGCAGGCCCTGGGGTCACCCGTTCTTCCACAGTGCACTGCTTGCTGTGCGCTTTTTAAGTCCACTGATGTTGGGAAGTGGATTGTTTTCCATTATTTTAATGGATCTGCCCAGTATAGACGCCCTTTATCTTTGGCAATCTTCCTGGTTCTTGATGGCATTTTGAAAATATTTGCGGAGTTAGCAGGTTCACTTAGCAGACAATTGCATGGTTTGTTTTTTTTTTTTTTAAATCTCACCTCATTCCAGAAAGAATTTAAGGCAGCTGAAGTTCACATCCTAACACAGTTCTACCTGAGTGCTGAAGTCAAGGAAGGTTGTAGAAACGCGTGGATTTTCCGCAACTCACCCACCATGGAATCTTGGGAGGCCCAGGCAGGGAAGGAGCTTGGGGAGTGGCCGGCAGGTTCCCTGGCCTGGACTCGTCCTTTTGCCTCTCACGCTCTTCCCCAGCCCAGCTTCCCCGGGGCAGCCTCCCTCGGTGCCCAGGACAGATTCCTGGGCCCTCGTGGCTGCCTCTCCCTTCTCAGCGCTCACCACAGGGTGGCCGCGGCGCGGGCGCTGGGCAGGCACTGCGATGCTCTCCTGGCCCCCGTACCCTGGCGTCTTGCCCAGAGCTGGCCATGCTGGGTCTTGTAGATGTCCCTCCGAACGACCAAGTGGCTCGGCC